CGTCACGATGCACACGTTACAGGTGAGACGTTGGTGTTCAGTTGTGTTAACTCTCAACTCACTGAACTTCCTTGAAAAGGATTTTTCGACTCCCTATCCGAAAAAGTGGTATTACAAGGTGAAATGGACGTAAAAACTAGCAACGATAAACTTTGGAATCGTCAACATCAAAATACGGGACATAAATAGTGTCCGCGCTGTCACTCCATCGATTCAGGATACGGGAAGAAGGTCTGTCTTGCAAGGTTGCTGTCAGAAACAAAATTGAAAACATAGATTCACCCTGGGGATCGGGAGAAAGTAAGGGATAAAATGTCACCCTGCAAACACGTGATTCCAACACCGATGTCCCTACATTATAGACTCCCAACTGTGCGCAGACTCCTGTCTTATGATGCGCGTCATATTTCAATTTGCGGTGTATTAAGTCGTCCGCATTATACGGTCACTCTCGTCCCATCAATACGGTCATTATCGTAACAGACTCTCTCCGCTGATGACGGTTTAGAACTGAACTCTGGAAGTGCACGCGACTTGCTGAGATCTTGACATATTTGATTTCAGAATGACGACACATTGCAGACAAGCTGTCCACATTCCTAGTAGATTAATGACAACTGTATGAGATATTTAGATCCGTACCGTACATCCTGAAAATAGGAAGTCGACATCAAGAGATAACATTAGTTATCGTGCGAGTGGAACACGGAATATTAGCTTCAGGCAAATTAACTTGAATTCTCAGTTCTGATTGGTATTTCCATAGCAGCAAACTGTGATATATAACTGTACTGCACAGTTCATATCAAACCCCGTGTTATGCGCTGCTAACCCAGAGCATTGCGCTATTTTTACGCTAAAAGCAAACGCACATCTGCGTGACTGTAAATTCAAAAGTGATGGTTTGCCTCGTGTTGATCATCACGTGTTTAAATGCACGTACAGTAAGCACTGTTGTTACTGTTGTTATTAAAATAAGTTAAAACACAATAATTCCCAAGCTCCCTATAGAATTGTGGTACATCGGTGTTACTGTTTTTGTCTGTGCGCCGTATATTTGTTGTCTTCTTTTTATGTAAAGCGCACATAGGAATAATGTAGTGCGTCTGTGTCCCGTATACCACGAGGTTGCAGACGCTTACGTCAACGAGAGTATGCGGCGGCGCGCAAAAGTGCTGCGCGACAGTGAGACCGGGTGTTTGTTGGGGCACACTGCGCAAGTGTTTCGCGTAGTTCTCCCCCGCCCGAAATTCTTAAGTGCACATATTTTTCATGAAATCGGTCCTCTTACCCTCCGATAATCCATGTTTATCAGGCTTATGAACTTCCTAAAACATTGAGAAACCTTTTTTGAAGGGTGTATTTTCCTATTGTAAATTCTCATTCTTTTGAAACTGATCATTGTATGAGTATGCGGTATGCCACCGAGTAACTTTTTTCTCAGAAGTGTTTTCAAAGAGCAAAAAATTTGAGGTTCAACATTTTAACATGAAAATAAACTAAACAGTGTCTTCTTTGGTTCACATCACAGGAACCCGCCTCCACTTGTCTGGAAAAGCTTTGGAAATTCTTAATGTTTAAAAAATTCACAATTCAGTAACTCTTAAAGGATTTCAAACAATTCTCATTCATTGAACCAATGTAAAGATGCACATAAAGTGACTCCGAAGAAAAATTCGCTGCGCCTTTTTTGTGTGTTCAGTATTTGTAGGTCTGCGGTATTTTTATTGTGCCATTTTTGGGCTGTACTATATATGTTTTCACAAGGTATCACACAGGTTACCGTAGCGCTCAGAGGACTGCATATGACTGTTGCCCAGGCTGGAGAAGAGATGGTACAAACCGCTGCCTAGTAGGTAAATTGAAAAACCACCCAAGGCTTGTGTAGCTTTAGAAACGAGAAGGCTGCTGAATACGGGCGATTCACAATAGTGCGCCACCAAGAGTTTGCAACACGTTGGCCAATCATAACGCGGAAATTTGTCGATCCTTTCCAAACGCGCATTGGGTCGACAAATTTCGCGCACTGTGATTGGCCAACGCGTTGCAAACTCTTGGTGGCGCATTATTGTGAAACGGCCGTATTGGACCGGTGAAGTAAGACTAGCTTCTTAGATGATCCATGGAGCATTTTCCCCCAAAGCCGTAGAAAAATAGAACGCTCCACGAATCACCGAGGGAGCTTTAAAGGCAGTGCCACACCAAGGATTTGTCTCTTTTTTGGGGGGGGGGTGGACCTGACTTTAACCCCAACACTCCTCAATCCTTCACCTGTTGGAGAATTGAGGAGTGTTTGGGTTAATCTCCTATAGCTCATGATGCATCCGTGTCAATCTGCACAAAATGTATATACCTACACAAACTGCAAACACATGGTGATACTTCACACTTTCAGTATATTGGGGAAAGGACAGGGTTCCTTGATGACTACGGGAAGACTTGAAACCATGAAGGATATCGGAAGTGTGCTGTGATGATGCAACCTGGCTTGCTGGGCTAATGAGGTTTTTGTCTAATTGTTTTTGTACCTGTAGCGATCTGTACGCCAAACTGCTACAATGGCGGATCGTGCGTGTCGCCCAATGTCTGCAGGTGTTCTGCCGGCTACAGGGGAAAT